TTTGGTTGTTGGTTACTTGAACATTTTGACTACCACCATTTTTCTAGCTGCCCTAACCACCCACACACACACCATTAATCTTGTGTAGCCCAGGCTACCACCAAATTCTCACTGTATACTTGATGTTATATGACTGTGTACAGCTAGCCTTCAACACCTTGTCCTGCCTTAGCCTTCCAAGCACTGGGATTATACATGTGAACTACATATGGATCTTGGATGATTCCTAATATCCTTGTCAAGAACCACTCATTAAAAAAGATTACATGAGTTAAATCCTGTAATTTCAGGGTGATGCTGGTTTGACTGGCCGAAAAATCATTGTGGACACTTATGGAGGTTGGGGAGCTCATGGAGGAGGGGCCTTTTCAGGAAAGGATTATACCAAAGTGGACCGCTCAGCTGCTTATGCTGCTCGTTGGGTGGCAAAATCCCTTGTTAAAGGAGGTCTGTGCAGGAGGGTTCTTGTTCAGGTATGTAATGAACAGGTAAATGGGAGAACGGTATTTAGTAAAGCTGTTTCTATACTTCCCTATTTTATAACAATATATTACTGACTTTTAGGTCTCTTATGCTATTGGAGTTTCTCATCCATTGTCGATCTCCATTTTCCATTATGGTACTTCTCAGAAGAGTGAGAGAGAGCTATTGGAAATTGTAAAGAAGAATTTTGATCTTCGCCCTGGGGTCATTGTCAGGTAAAGACGGTAAAGCCTATTGCTAGTGAGAAATGGGGAGTGGGGTGAGGTGGGCATATAAATCTGAGGAGATGAAGGTAGACTCCTCATGTAGGGAAATAAATTTTAATTCCTAGAATATGCCTGGAGAGGACCTAACTGATAAAGTGTTCTGTGACTCAGTAACATCCTAAAAGTTCTCCATCTTTGATACTGAGCTTTGTGCTTATCTTAACTAAGGGTGCTACCTTAAGAATTAATAAGGTGGGATGTTCAAAGTTACAAAGAAAATAACCGTAGTGGGCAGTGATTGGACCTTGGTAAGTATTTAATTGGAATTCCTGAGAATGATAAGTTTTTATATTTGGGCTGGAAAACAAGAACAATAGTTACTGATAAAGAACTGTGCAAGGACTTTGGACACCAGGGAAGTAACATTTTTGCCATGAACTTTTTTCCTAGCAAACCCCAGGGAGAACTGAACTCATTTGCCAGAGCTCTTGAAATGAGTCTTGCTGATTGTTTTGCTTTGTTTTAATTTTATGCTACATATTAAGTTATGGACTTGTATATTCCAGGGATCTGGATCTGAAGAAGCCAATTTATCAGAGGACTGCAGCCTATGGCCACTTTGGTAGGGACAGCTTCCCATGGGAAGTGCCCAAAAAGCTTAAATATTGAAAGTGTTAGCCTTTTTTCCCCAGACTTGATGGCGTAGGCTACAGAGAAGCCTTCAAGCTCTGAGGGAAAGGGCCCTTCTTGCTAAATTTTTCTGTCCTCTTTCAGCTCCTGATCAGTTGCAGTCACTAATCAATGACATGAATTTTAGCTTTTGTGGGGGACTGTAAGTTGGGCTTGCTATTCTGTCCCTAGGTGTTTTGTTTACCATTATAATGGATATAGTGAGCATAGGTGATCCATGTAACTGCCTAGAAACAAACACTGTAGTGAATAATGCTTTGAAATCAACCTTTGTGCCCTATCACCTAATCCTCCAAAGTCCTAATTGCAATTATTTTCCCACCAGATGCTGAAAATGTCCTTGTAATGTGCACGTAAAGTACTTGTAGTTTGACTATAGACTTTGGCAATGCCATAGCCCTGTCAGCATGAATTTGTGATGTCTTGAGCTCTATTTATTGAATGTGAAGCCCCTTCCCTCATCCTCCCTGTAACTCAGTCATTTCTAATTATGTAGTTCTTTGTCAGGGAGTGTTCCCTATCCAATCAATCTTGCATGAAACGCAAGTTTCAGTTGGAGCTCTAGCCTGACTTAAAAAAAGGCAGTTACAATTATACCATCTCCCTGGTGCTTATGCTATTAATTGCCACCTCTTAAACAGCACCAAATCAAAATCTCTCCACTTTTCAGCTGTCTTTGGAGGACGTACGTAATAAGGTTTTATTTAGTAAACCAATCCTATGCATGGTTTCAGCACTAGCCAAACCTCACCAACTTCTAGTCTAGAAAAACAGGCACTTGGCACCCTTGTGATGTCATACAGAGAAGTCACAGGGCAGTACCCGAGGGTCTGTAGGTTGCACACTTTGGTACCAGGTATCTTTTTTTTTCTTTATAAGAAAGACAGTACTCCACACTGCACAATCGTTCCTCCCAGGGTTTTAACTTTGTTTTATTTTCAAAACCAGGTCCAATGAGCTTTCTGAACAGCTGGTGTAGCTACAGAGAAACCAGCTTCCTTCAGAGAGCAGTGCTTTTGGCGGGGAGGAGGAAATCCCTTCATACTTGAACATTTTCTAATTGCTTATTTATTGTATTCTGGGGTATGGCGTAAGTACAGAGAAGCCATCACCTCAGATGGCAGCTTTTAAAAAATTTTTTTTCCTCAACACCATGATTCCTTTAACATGTTTCCAGCATTCCCAGGTAGGCCAAGGTGTCCTACAGAAAAACCTTGGGTTAGACCTACAGGGGGTCTGGCTGGTGTTAACAGAAGAGAGGGCAGAGCTGGTGCAGCTGGCCATGGAGAAAGCTGACTTGGCTGGTGTGGTACAGAGAAGCCAGCTTGTTTACATGCTTATTCCATGACTGCTTGCCCTAAGCAAGAAAGTGCCTTTCAGGATCTATTTTTGGAGGTTTATTACGTATGTCTGGTTCTCAATTCCAACAGTTAAATGAAGATCTAAATAAAATGCTAGGTTCTACCCATATTGTGTCTACTTGTTCCTTTCTAAGTTAAAATCTACATGCATCCTCTTACTGCATCTGCCACCCCATTGCCAAAGATAGGAAATTTTCAACCGTGCATAAGATCATGATTAAACTTGGAATCATTTAGAAAGCCTGACATAATACTGCATACACACAGCATGATGCATGTGGAGATGAGTGCAACATATAGGAGTAACTTTATTCACAGTTGTCATGTAAAGGCTGGGCATCAACCACTCTGGCAGTTAGGTGTTTTCCTCCTTGATAAGCCCTGGGCAGAAATCAACCAGTATGCCCCTGCTATCTTGGTCAACAGGAAAGATTCTTGGGAATCTGAAACACGCATCACTTGGAATTTATTAAAATGATGGGACTAAGGCTGGGTGGTGGTGACACATGCCTTTAAATCCCAGTACTTTGGAGGCAGGGGGATCACTGTGAGTTTGAGACTAGCCTGGTCTATAAGAGCTAGTTCCAGGACAGTACCCAAAGCCACAGCCTGTTTTGGCAAAGAAAAAATTAGAACTACTAATTTTCCAAAAGTAATATTTTATGGCAAGCAAAAAACTCACTGTATTGTCTGGTGAAGGTTTAGTGATTTCAAAGAGTTAGAAACCCTGTGTAGCTCTTGGAATCCCAGAATTTTGAGGAAGAATGAACTTCAAGTTCTCATCTCAGTCGTTAGATGTCATTTTAGTTGCTTTTAAAAAGAACAATCCATTCCCAAAACAAATGTAGCAGTTTTTAACCAGAGGGTCTCATCTATCCCATGCCTCTACTGCGATTACAGATGTGTACCATAGAGCCCCATTTACACAGTGCTGAGGATCAAACCCAGGGTTTCCTGCATGGTAGCCTAAGCCTCTGTCATCTGAGCTCCATCTTTAGCCCCAAACAACTTAACTAGTAATGCCCTCATCCCAACACTTGGGGAAAATTAGGTAAGTAAACAAACATGGGAGCAGAATCTTTGTACAAATTTAACTACTTTGCATAAAACCTGGGTTCATTTCCCAGCACATGTTTGAAAGACATTACTCCCTAATAACCATTTTTTTCCTCACTAGTCGAGAGTGATAGGCTGAGGGAGTGAAGAAACAGCTTAATTTAGAAAGGACACTGCCAATGTGTATCTGTATTATTACTGTAAAAGATGATAAAAAGGAATGCAAACTAGTGTTTTTCCTGTGCATGGCCTTTAGAAGCCTATATACCATGATTTGTATGCATTAAGAGGAACTTTTAGGTGGTGGGCCTGCCTTCTGCTACAAAGGGTGAGGGAATAGGCCAATAGAGATAAAAATAGAATAAATAGACAATAGATTTGATGGGACTTGGCAAATGTAAGGAAGAGGAAAGCCTCAAGTCTTATGACTCAGTCATGGCTTAGAGAGCTGCCATTCACTAAGCTGATTTATACTAAAGCAAGCCATCTGGCTTCCCTATTTAGTAGTGCTATTCTGATATCATTGCTACTGAAAAACTTGCTGTCCCTGACCATCCCAATCACTTGAAATTAACACAAGTTTTAAGCTATACTGCTTTAGCTGTCTGGTTCTGAAAATTAAGCAGCAGCATATAAAACCTTAGCTCTTAAGATTTCAGTTCAAATTGTCAACCAACTCCAGGATGCCTCTGGGTAAATTTTACCTGCTTTCTTTTTTCAAAGGCAAAATATGGCCAGTGCTTCTTAAAGTACTAAGTATAATAATTCAGGTACACTGTTTCAAACGGTACCAAGCACATAGGTTCAGGTATTTTCATTGTGGTAAATTCCTTTTCCTAAAGAACCAGCTTAAAAGTGACTTTTATAAACCAGGCGGTGGTGGTGCACACCTTTAATCCCAGCACTTGGGAAGCAGAGGCAGGTGAATCTCTTGAGTTCGAGCCCAGCCTGGTCTACAGAGTTCCAAGACAGCCAGGGCAATCCGGGCATTGGTGGCACATCCCTTTAATCCCAGCACTTGGGAGGCAAAGGCAGGCGTATCTCTGAGTTCAAGACCAGCCTGGTGTACAAGTGCTAGTTCCAGAACAGCCTCCAAAGCCGGAGCTACACAGAGATACCCTGTCTTGAGAGGGGAAAAAAATTATTCCTTTACTGTAAGATCATGTGCTTCTTAAAAAAAAACAAAAACAAAAAACCTCAGTCATGGCATTCAAATTCTTCTCTGTTGTCTTGAATTCTGTAAGCTATCATAAAGAGCTTATAAAGGGGGAAAAACAAAAGGAAAAAAACTAGGTTTGGTGATACACATATAACCACAAAACACTCAGGTTGAAGTAGAGGAGTTTGAGGCCAGCCTGGGCTGTACTGTGAAAGCTTGTCTCAAAATAGATAATATCCTTTGCATAGACAGTAACTCTGTAACATGCTGCTCCCACATCTGCACAGAACATCTGGACTTCCCTCAGAACTCAGAGTGAACATGCTCAGAATCTGGCTCTGAAGGGTTAGAGTTTGAAGAATCGATGTTGGAAGCACTTGACTCATCAACTGGTTCAAATGGTCGCAAGTTTGCATATGTCACCTCTTGGGCTAGCTGCTCTAGGGAAGGACGGCCTAATAGCAGATTTCGGAGTGAAATTCGAGTCATCAGGAAGCTGAAAAAAAAAAAAACAGTCCAAATGTATGTTTCTATATAACTCCAACCAAAGCCCTGAGGAAACACTTGGTTTCAGACCCATTCACCTGAGGACACATATCTACCTCACTGACCTTCCACATTCCAATGCAAGAGCCCCAGTCCCTCCAAAGCCTGACAATATTCTAGGGTAGAATAGGAATAATCACAGAAAGATGGAAAAGCTAGAGATGAAAACAACAGAGCAGGGTGAGGAGGGGAAAAATCCCTAGGAGTGTCTACTGTTACCCTCACTAGGGGCAAGTGACCAAACTTGCAAACACCTGATGGCAATGACAAATGCCTCTGTGAGTGACACTTACCTGCGTCGAAAGACATACAGCTTTCGCAGCAAGAAGCGGAGGACTCGCTCATGGAAAGGGCTATTTCGCCGGCGTTCAATCTCTTGGAGTTTCCGCTGCCGTCTTAGAAAGGTCTGGACCAGAGGTGTTGGCTCAGGGCCCCCTTTTACCTCCCCTTCCAAAAGAGGCTGAAGTTCTGGAGGCAGGGGCCCTGTTTCTGTCCAGAAGACAGGAAAGAGGAACCGATGAGATTCCCATCAGTGAGAGGCTTCAAGCACTCTCTAGTGGTTACAGCCCATAACCCTGACTTCCTGAAACCAGGCACTCTGCCGGACCATCATGCACTCACCACTTCCGTTCTCTACCTTCTCCTTTAACTCCTGCAGATGGGCCAGGTCTTGCTCCAATGCCACCTCTGTAGTGTTCACATAGACGTACATATAGCAGGAGGGACTAGATGACACCGTGTAGACTTTATGGTACTCTCCAGTAGGCAACTGATAGGGGAACAAAAGAAACATTCAATTCTAACTTCCCTAGCAAGCCCATGGCCTCCCTACTCTAACCCTGCTGGCCCTTTCTTTCCCTGTATCTTGGAGTCTGAAGTAATAGTTTCTAGAATCTGGATAAAGTTGTTCACAGCCTCAAGGGTCCTTGTTTTTTTTTCCCCTCCCAGTGTTGTTTTGAGTTCCATCTCACTGTAGTCCAGGCTGCACTGGAATTCTCAGCCTTCCTGCCTCAGCCTCCCAGGCCCTGAAGTTGACAGGCACGTGCTGCCGTGCCCCCACGAAGCCCTTGCTTTCTGAGTGTCCACTATATTACTGCACTGGTGAAGATTTTTTTGTCTGTAATAAATGAACCCTGCTTCCCTAAACTTCACACCACTTCTAGAGCTTTGTTTTGTAGCATGAAATCCCCAGCCTGTCACTGTCAACCCCAGCAAATACCTGCATTTTTTCTCCCTCCCGAAGAGTCTGGTTTTTCTGTTCTGCCACCAATTCCACGGTGACTTCTCCCTGCAGCAGCTGGATGCTAGTGTTGCCCAAGTCTTCACTCACAAAATTCTCTAGGTGAAGCCCTGCCAGGGGCAAGAGAGTTCACCATCCCACCATCACCTCCAGAGTGCCCTCCCTACCCCATCACATGCAATGTCTCTGGTCAAGGAAGCCAAGGAAAGACAGCGGAATCTCCCTTCGCTCTCCTCCATACCGGGGAAATCTGCAATGAAGACCACCTCAGTGTGGTTGTCCAAACTGCTCTTAATGTCCTGTAACTTGGTCCTCCAAGGAGATAAGTCCATCAAGAGTGGCTGCACCCAAGGCGTGCGCTGGAAGGGGGACCAGACAGCCTGCACGATGTCCACACGAGGGTCAAAAAGCCTTAAAAAAGGAAACCACACTCTGACGAGGCAGTGGCACCCACCCACCAGTTCTCTGGTTCTGTTCCTTGCATCACTGGACCCACGGAGAGGGAATAGGATTTCCCAACAGGAGAAATGCCTACTGTCAGCATGTTATTGCCAGTCCGTGGCAGAGAGGAGGGGAAAGAATGTGAGTTAGTGGCCACCTGAGGAGAAGGCATCATGTTAACAGTGTCAGAAAGAACAGTCAGTTCACTTTTCTCCTGGATGATGGTGCCCCCTGCTGGACGCAACCAGCGATGCCCACAACCAGATCAACCCCGACATGCACTAGACTGAAAGAGAGACAGCCTTGTAAAAGCAAGACACCATGAGGAGACATCAGTTTTTCATCCTGACAAAAAGAGCTGTGCTGCATCTTTCCCTGCCTCTGCTCCCCTTGCCCACCTCTGCTGGAAGCGGTCATTGATGGAGACCCAAATATCAAAGTAGATCTGGGGCTCAGTGACATTGTACTTGGGAAGCAGGAGGCTCAGGCAAGTGGCATATTGCTTCAGCATGTCTGCATGATCCTTCCATCGCCGGCTCTGTGTGAATACCTGCCCCAAACCCCCATATTAGTCCCACTTTGTCACTGTCAACCTCCAAGACATGCACTGCCAATAACACAACCATCTCTCTACCTGCTGCCTAATTTGAGCAGGAGGGGAAAAAAAGGAACTTGTCTTCGGGTGTGAATTTTTCATTGCTAGGTATTTACTCACCTTTCCAAAACATAATCTTAATTCGAAACAGTGACAGTCTCACATCTATCCACATTTTAAAAAAGCACAGCACCAGACACAGTGGCTGAAAAGAGAAAAGCCTGCGCTACACTGAAAGACCCTTGCTTAATTAATTAAAAATATGGTCTAGTGAGATGGTTCAGCATGTTAAAAACATTTACCACAAAACCCTGATGACTTAAGTTACCAGAAATCACAAAGTGGTAGAAATAACTGAGTCCACAAAGTTGTCTCCACACACACGTGTCTGTCTCTCGTGTACATACGCACGCACGCACGCGCGCACACACACACACTGAATTTTTTAAGACTACAAAAGGTTCAAGGATGAGGATGTAGCACAATGGCAGAGTATACACTTAACATGTGCCAGGCTCTGGGTCCAGCACACAAAAAAAAAAAAAAGGAAGAAAGGAAAACAGAAGGTTCTGTTTGGTTTTGGAGAGAGGGCAAGAACCCAAACTTGTTTTACTTTATAATATGTATAGGACCAACTAAACAAAGCCCTAAGCCCAAGGGGCTCTGAAGATCTGGCAGTATCAGGTGGCTCACCCCAGGGTTAAGGTAGCCAAGCTCGCCAGTGAGGCCATCACGGTAGGTGATCTTTACATGCTGGTGGGAGCGGGAGTGTACCATCATGTCCCAGGAATAGCCGTACAGCCCGTTTGTCCAGTTGTTGTAACCCTGGGAAGGCAGAGCAGACAGCATCAGCTTAATGCCTCTCAACCCAACCTCATCCTCCAGGAAGAAGAGCTAAAGAGCCAAACCCTTGCTTCCTCACATGCCACATCCACCACAGTCCAAGCCCAGCCTCTGGCATGGACAAGGATCCAACAAACCTGGGTGAGGAAATGGGAATACGGCAGGAAGAGCTGCTCCAGAAGGTAGAGCAGGGTGAAGACGGCTCCCAGCTGGTGGCGCAGCCCCAGCTTTTGACCAGCCCTGGCCCGGGCCCTCTTATAGACACAGGAAGCACTGGGCCGGGGAGCATCTTTGGTGGGCAGCAGCAGCTCTCGCAGCCTTTTGGGGCACCGGGCTACCAGCTTCCGAGGCCAGTCAGTTGAGCAGAAGAGGGGGCTGCTGGCCAGCATGACATAGGGAAACATACCTAGGAAAGCAGGGAGAAACGTCAATATGGTCAGGCTCCCGGTACCACCTTCCCTTACGAAGATCCTCCAAAGTATTTTACTTTAATGAAGTTCTGTCTCATATAGCCTACATTGGCCTAGAACTCAATGTGTAGCTGAGGATGACCTTGACCTAGCCCTTCTCACTGCATTTCCCAGGTGCTGGGACAAAGAGGTGCACACCATCACAGCTGGCTTTGTGTTGTGCTTGGGATGGAACCCAGGACTCTGTTCATATTCGGGAAGCCCTGGAGCGGCTGAGCTGCATCCTGAGCGAGGGAAACGTCTGACTTGTTCTTCCCACAGACCCTCCCTGTGCGAAGTGTTGTGCCCAGAGGTGCCAATCCTCTCATCCTTATTTCAGTGACTACCCAGGGTTCGACTTAGCTCCTGCTTGGACCCACCACCACCACCCACCTACAGACAGCGCCTTCCTCTAGGAGCTCCCCACAGCCCCAGTCACGGCTCCCCACCAGGCGGCAGGCACTGACCTATGCTGAAGAGCTGCGAATTCATGCAGTGAAAGTAAGACACGAAGACGAGGCCAATGGGTCTTGAGGCATCAAAAAAGAGCAGGAAGCCAGCTGAGAGGTCAAGGAGAAGACCACACCAGTGTACCACCAGCAGGCTTGTTAGCTCCTCAGACAACACCAGCCTGCAGACACAGAACAAGAGTCCAGGCCCAGTCAGCTGGGTCAGCCAGCAGCCACAACACAGCTGAAGCTCTAGGTGCCCCAGCAACCTGTCCCTGATGAAGGACCTACCCACCTGTGGGGTACACAGCTAAGCCTGAACTGTTCTACACTGGAGCTTACCGACCCCTGACATTTTCAGGTGTTCTTTTTTTAAATATCCCCTGCGTGATGAGTAAAGCCCAGTCTCCTAGGATAAAATTTGATGGAAAAGTATACTGCAGGGAGCCAGTTCCTTGTGGAAATCATAAATGAGAAGTACTAAAAGGTGAGTTCTAGACGTGAAGGGGCCGGCCCTGCAGGCCCAAAGTGACAGGGTCACCATGACACAAGGAAACAACATATCCAAGAAGACCCCCGTGAGAGCCCAGTATCTACAGTGCAGCAAAAACCAGAAGCCTCAAACCGATGACTCACTGCAATTGACACTTGCAGGTAACGATGTGTGGACTAAAAGGTTTAATGATGTGTGAATCACTGGGTCACACTGCAGCTTCCTCGATGAGACTTTTTCTTTTTCTCTTTTCCTTTAAATTTTAGTTTGTTTTATCATGGATAGGAGGTTGCAAGGGTAGAAGGTGGATGGGAAGAGACAGGGGGATGAGCGGGACTGAGATGTACGAAGTGAAACCCACAAAGGATCAATAAAAAAGTTAAACTGAGAAGGAAAGAAAAAGGTGAGTGCCGGGGCTGGTCCCCAGCACTCATAAAACCAGATGTGGCCGTGCACACCTGTAATCCTAACACTTGGGAGGCAGAAGCAGGAAGCTCAGAAGTTCAAGGCCATCCTCAGGGAGCTGGAAGCCACCAGATAGGTGGTATCTTCTCAAAAGAAAACGAACAAACTAGGGGCTGTAGAGATGGCTCAGCGGTTAAGAGCTCTGGCTGCTCTTCCAGAGGTCCCGGAACCTCATGGTGGCTCACAATCATCTATAATGAGATCTGGTGCCCTCTTCTGGCCTGCAGGCGTACATAAACAGTGGTAAATGAATAAATAATCTTTTTTTAAAAAAAAGAAAGAAAAAGAGCAAACTTGTTTTAAAACGTTGATTGCTTTGGGCTGGTGAGATTGTTCAGTAGACAAAGGTGTTTGCTACTTAGCCTGGACACCTGAGTTTGACCCAAGAAGCAACTTCTACAAATTGTCCTCTGACCTCCACATAAATGCCATGGCACATGTATGCAAACATACCTATATACGCATGCAAATAGATACGTGTAAAAGTGAAATGTAAAAAAGAGTAACTGCTTGACTTAACAGGTCAAACTCCAGAATGTGGAAAATAGAGAAAAGGGGGGGAGCAGTAAAACGAAAGGGGGGGCCCAGAAGGAAAGGAAAAACTCTCAGATGAAGCTGTCATTGGCAGAACTGCTCTCAGACAGGAGCAGCACTGCCTGACTTCACCAAACTGTCTGGGGAGCTCCTACAGAAGATTCGGTCACATCGCCTCAACCCAGACTCAGGGGCAGAGGCACGGGAGTTCTGAGCTCAAGGCCAGCCTGGTCTACACAGTAAGACCTGTCTCCAAAATATTTTAAAAAACAAAATACAATAAGAAGAGTGGGGTCAGGGCTGGGGTGCTTGTCTTATATGCATGAGACCATAAATTCAATCTCAGCCACCACCAAAGCGTAATAAAAAATTTAAAAAGAAACTGGGATTCACAAGACAAGGATGCGAGCAACTCCCGCTGCCACCCAAGGTAACCGCTGGGTCCTGGCTCATCTGCCAAGTGTACCGCTTGGCTTAGCGTCAACTTGCACAAGCTGGAGCCACCTGGGAAGAGGACACCTTAACTGAGGGATTGCCTCCATCAGCCTGCCTAGAGGAAAGTCTTTCGGGGCATTTTCTTGATTAATGATTGATGTGGGAGGGCCCAGTCAACTATGGACAGTGGCACTTCTGGCCCTGGGTAAGAAAGCAAGCTAACAGGCCTGGAGAGGTGAGTGAATGATTAATACTGGCTGCTCTTCTAGACGGCCCAGGCTTGAGTCCCATACCCACACGGTGGCTCAAAGCTGTAACTCCAGCCCCGGGGGAGTCCTCTTCTAGAGTCCATCAACACCAGCACCCGTGTGGTACACCCACATGTGTGCAGGCAAACCGGATAAGCACATAAACAAAATTCAACTTTTCTTCTAAAGGAGAAAAAGTGAGCAAGCCACGAGAAACGCGCCCGTGTGCAGCGTTCCTCAACGGTCTCGGCTTCTGCTCCTGCTTCCGGGTTCCTGCTCTTCTCAGCTCCTGCCTTGGCTTCCATCAATGACGGCTGATGATGAGGATGGACTGGGTGTATGAACCAAATAAACCTTTTTCTCCCCAGGCTGTTTTGGTCACGCTCTTAGCACAGCAACCAAAAGCAACGTGAGACACTGTGGTACCTAATTCTGACTCTTGTTTCAACCGTCTGTGGCCTAGAGTCTCCCAGATGCAGCTAGGCCCCATCTCTGAATATCATTGACTCTGCTTTTGGCTGGATAGGGAGCCAGGGCAAATGTCAGACACCTGTTACGCAGACTTGAATCACCCACTCAGTACCTGTAACCCGAAAAGTCTCTACTTTGACTCTACTCACTTGAAGGGACTAAAGAGCCAATGCCGGGACAAATGTTCCATGGAGTAGCCCTCAACCCAGTCTGCATCCAGCTTTTTCACACCCGCAATGAAATACACAATGAAGATCTGTAAACACAAAATGCTGCATGAATGCTTACAAAGAACCCTTGTTTTCCTGCTGAAAGCTCTGCAGTTAAGGACTTGCTGCTCAAGTGAGGAGGTGGTGGTGCACACCTTTTATCCCAGCACTTGGGAGGCAGGGACAAGTGAATCTCTGTGAGTTCAAGGCCAGTCTGATCTACAAAGCCAGGCTCCAAAGCTACAGAGAAACCCTGTCTCAAAAAGCAAAAAAAAAAAAAAAAAAAAAAGGGGGGTGGTGATGGCTGGAGAGATGGCTCAGAGGTTAAGAGCACCCGCTGCTCTTCCAGAGGACCTGGGTTCAATTCCCAGCTTCCACATGGCAGCCAATAACTGCCAGTAACTTCCCTTTCAAGGGACCCAACACCCTCACACAGACATACATGCAGGCAGAACACAGCATGCACCCAGGTGGAGCGGCTCACAGGCACCTGTAACTCTGGTCGCAGGGCATCTTCTAGTCTCTGTGGGCATGCACAGGGTGTCCACACAGGTGAGCAGGCACACAGTCATACATAATAAAGCTAAATGAAACTTAAAATGTAAAGGAGGACTGGAGAGATGGCTCAGTGGTTAAGAGCACCAGCTGCTCTTCCAGAGGACCAGGGATCAATTCCCAGCACTCACATGGCATCTCACAACTGTCTGTAACTCCCGTTCTAGGGAACTGACACCTTCACACCAATGCACATATAATACAGTTAAATCATTTTTTTTAATGTAAAGAATAAAAGTCCTCATCTTAACCAGTACCCAAGAAAGAACATATCCACTACTCTAACCTTTCATTTCATAATCATTCATCCAACAAGCTCTAAAAATACAAACAAATGCGGGGTGTTGGTGGCTCACGCCTTTAATCCCAGCACTTGGAAGGCAGAGGCAGGCAGACCTCTGAGTTCAAGGCCAGCCTGATCTACAGCACAAGTTCCAGGACAACTTCCAAAGCAATACAGAGAAACTCTGTCCCAAAAAACAAACAAACAGCCGGGCGTTGGTGGCCCACGCCTTTAATCCCAGCACTTGGGAGGCAGAGGCAGGCGGATCTCTGTGAGTTCGAGGCCAGCCTGGTCTACAAGAGCTAGTTCCAGGACAGCCTCCAAAGCCACAGAGAAACCCTGTCTTGAAAAACCAAAAAAAAAAAAAAAAACCAACAAACAAACAAACAAAAAATACACACACACACACACACCACACCACACCACACCACAAACAAAAAAGTCTACCCATGCCAGGAACACTAGGTACAAAGGAAAACGTAATAAAAGCACAGAAGTGATTATCTCATGAGGATTCTAATCCAATAGACAAAGCACTACTCATTTCATGATGTGGTGAGACTCAGGGATTGGGGACTGAAAAAGAAAGAAGGGCCCAGCTAGCTTTGTAGCAAAATGAATAAAGAAACACCAGGGCCAACAGCATGGCTCAGCGGGTAAAAGTGCTGGTGGTACAGGGCTGACAACTTGAGTTCTATTCCCCATGTAAAAAGGATACATTAGGGTTTAGTCTATAATCGCTGCTACACATAGGAGAATCACGTGGAAGCTGATGGGTCAGCAAGCCTGGAGTATGCAGCAGGGCAGAAACATCAGGAGACATCATGCCTCAATTCAGTGGAAGGAGAGACCCAACCCCAAGAGTTAGCCTTTGATCTCATGTACCAAATGAACATGCCTGCATGTGAGTGCACACACACCCTAAATTAATACTTTTTTATTTTTTTGAGATCAGGTCTCATTGTATAGTCCTGGCTGACCTGGAACTCAGTATGTAGACCAGACTGGCCTTAAACTCACAGATATCCTCTGTCTCTGCCTTTGCCTCTTGAGTGCTGGGGTCAGGAGTATGTACAACCATGCCTGGCCATATAAATAGATATTTTTAAAAACAAGAAATAATCTAGGGAGGCAGAAGAGAGGGCCTCTGACCACTGCCGACTATCAACAGCTCACAAGGAGCCCCTTCGCCATCTTGAAACCCTAAACCTTGGCTGGGAGGTGCATGATGAGTACAGCATTCTCCACAAACACGTGAGGGTTCAAGTTTGAATCCCCAGAACCCACGTAAAGTAAGGCATAGTATTGTGAATCTGTATTTACAGCACTCCTACATTAAGACAGGAGATGGAGACAGGGGAATCCCTGGACAGTCACAGGCCAGCTAGCCTGGCAGAGGCAGCACCAAACAACAAAGAAATAAAGACTCTGGGCTCGATCCACGTAGACAATTCCATACCTGGCCTCTCAGGACTGTGTAATTCCAAAGAGGCACGTGGGCATTTTTCTTTCGGGCATTCAGCAGGCCATCCACAGACCTACAGGAAGGAAGTGAAACTATAAAGGAAGGCCTCTTAGTCCAGCTACATTCCTACCCTCCAATTAAGCCAATCCTATCTACCTCAGAAACAGCTCTCAATCTGGGCAGTCGTGGCACACACCTTTAATCCCCGTACTTGGGAGGCAGAGGCAGGAGGAACTCTTTTGAGTTTGCGGCCGGCTTGGTCTACAGAGTCAGTTCCAGGACAGCCAGGGCTACACAGAGAAACCCTGTCTCAAAACAAAACAAACAAACAAAAATCCAGAAACCAAAAAGAAAAGGGAAAGAAAGAAAAAGAAAGCAAGCTCTCATGCCTTCCCTGATTCTTTGGGCTATCCTGAGGCCCTTATGAAACATATGAGTAAATCTTCTTGGGACATAATGTTGAGAAGGAGTCTCAGTTCACAGACTGGCCTCAAACTCACTAGGTAACTGAAACTGGTCTTGAACTCCTAATCTTCCTGATTCCACTTCCCAAGTGCTAGAATTGCTGAAGTGTACCACCATGCTTGGCAATATGAGTATAACGTGATGGTAATTACTATTAAGAACATAAAGTAATATCCCAATAAACCCCCTATAAGCTGAAAATAGCCTTAATTTGAAAATGTATTTGATATACATAACCTACTGGATATCACAGCATGGCCTATACACTGTGTTAAATGTGCTCAGAACACTTGCAATAACCTACAGTAGGGTAAAAACAAAGTCTATTTTATAATACAGGGTTGAATATTTTATTGAACATTGTGTCAGCTTACTCTGCCACCATGTCTAAAAACACTGAAGTTGAACCATAAGTCAGAGACTGTCTATAGTAAATCATAAGAATAAAAACTGGCTGGGCATAGTGGCACACACCTTTAATCCCAGCACTCAGGAGGCAGAGGCCAACAGATAACCATGAGTTTGAGGCCAGCCTGATCTATACAGCAAGATCTAGGATTACACAGTGAGACTATGTCTCAGAAAAGAAAGTAAGTAAATAAACAATAAAATCACAAAATGGAGGACTGGGGAGATGGTTAAAAGTACTAACTGTTCTTCTAGAGGACCTGGGTTCAACTCCCAGCACCCATGTGGTACTCGCAACTGCCTGTAACTCCAATTTCAAGGAATCCAATGCCATATTCTGCCTCCACAGGCACCAGGAACACACATGGTGCACATACATACATGTAGGCTAAATATATATATACATGAAATAAAATCAAAACACAGACACGAAGGTGCATTAAAACACATGCACACACATAAATATACACACACAGTGCATCTATTTTGTTTTGTTTTGGTGTTTGAGACAAGGTCTTACTTTGTAGCCCAGGATGGCCTTGAAGCCACCATGTAGCCCAAGCTATAATCCTCACGCCTCTGCCTCTTCAATGCTGGGAATAAAGGTGTGCGCCACCACATTCTGCTATACAGTATATTATTTTATGGGGGGGCTGGGAAAGTAGTCCAGAGACTAAGCACTTGCCTAGCATGTACAAGGCCCTGAGTCTGACCCCCTACCTCCATAGGGGTAAATAAAGAAAAATAAATTCAAAATACTCCCCAGCAAAATAATGCAGAGCATAAATTAGCATTTATAAAACTGGATGCCAGGATCCAGTGCCAGAGGACCGACTCCTGGTTTTAAATTTCATCCCAAGAGAACTGAAAAAGCTAGGATATCAACACCAGATTTACTCCGAGGCAGAAGTCAAGCAGGTTTTGAAGAAGTTAGGAAGAACATAGCTTACTCTGTAGTCAAAAGCACTAGTCAAGGACAATGAAGTCTCATTTATTTTTTTCCCTGTTGTGTAAACTTAGGCAGATTCTTTATTTTCCCAAGACTTACTTCTTCATCTAAAAAATTAGTCCAACTCTAGGGACCTCATATTTGTTTGTTTTGAGACAAGGTCTTACTGTATATATAGCCCAAGCTGGCCTCTAATTCAAAGCAATCCTCTTGCCTTGGCATCCCAAAGTGCTGGAGATGAGCAACTAAACCTGACTCTTCACAGGGTTTTAATGAGGAAAAATATTTAAATATGCCCACCACATAGAAAGCCCTGAGTATGTGACAGGTACTTTTTTCTTTTTTTTTTTTTAAAGATTTATTTATTTATTACATATACAGTGTTCTGCCTACATGCCAGAAGAGGACACCAGATTGAATTGTAGACGGTTGTGAGCCACCATGTGGTTGCTGGGAATTGAACTCAGGACCCCTGGAAGAGCAGTCAGTGCTCTTAACCTCTGAGCCATCTCTCCAGCCCCGACAGGTACTTTTTTCAAAATGTCTAAAAATAACAAAAATACAACTTGGAAGTGGGAGCTATCTATCAAAATGATCTCTGAATTCTCTATGATAAAAGCTGGACATCCTGAATTGGTTTCAAGTTGGACAAAGGTGGAAACTGGGGACGTAACCTGGTGGTAGTCATTCATAGCACGCAGGAGGCCGGGGCAATCCCCAGCACACGTGCACATACACGAAGCTTTACGGGAGAGAGATACATACTCCTGCATCAGTGGTGCGCCATCTCCGGCTGGCTCACAGAGGTTCTACAGCTACTCCTCACTCTACAATAGGAAAAGTCTCCTCAAGGTCTCCTGCCCCACCACCCTGGCTCCAGGGCTTCCCCACCTCCCCTGATAGATGGTCACCTAGGCCAGAGACGGAGTGGGTTATTTTCTCCTAGGACAGCACTGCTGGGCAGCCCTGGTGGTCCCTCTCCTCTCGGTATCTGCTATCATTTCCACCTCACAGCAACTTCTACGTTTGGCTATAACTCTGCCTCTCTGGGCTCACACACAGAAAGTAAAGTCTGCACCCCTGGAGTATCTGAAAACAGCTATGTCTGGCTTTAGTCTTCTCCTCTTCTAAGAGGGATACAGGAATGGATATATCAGGGTACCTGGAGAGATATGGAAAAAGTAAAGGGGTGGGATGGAGTTGTTTTCCTGTCACCACAATCACCCAATTTGCTGGTCCTTCCCCTTCCCAAATTCATCCAAGTCAAACAATACAGCTGAGCAAATAAGGGCACTCACCATCAAGCCTACCTCAGCTGGATCCCCAGACCCCACATGGAAGAAGGAGAGAATGGGCTACCCCAATCCATCCAAGTATGATCTCAGACCACACTCTGCAAAACTTGGTTAAAAAAAATGTCTTTGAGCCAGCATGGTGGCTCACACCTGTAATTCCAGCACTCAGGCTAGGACAGGAGAACGGCTAGTTCAAGGCCAGCCTAGATTACATAGTGAGTTCCAGGCCAGCCTGACATACAGCAATACAAATCTCACAGCAAGCCCCCCCCCCCCCACCCCCCGCCTCCCAAAACACCAAAACACCAATAAAAATTGTGCCTATGCAACAATTTCTAGGACTTCACTGGGCCCCTACCTCTCTTGTAAGCATCCTGACCCAGACACACCTTACCCCTATCATTTCCCAAGGCACATACCAGTAGTGGTTTGCATCCATGAATGTCAGCTGAAAGGCCAACAAACCATACAGATAGGAATGGTTGTTCCACGATGTCTTGTCAAGGAGAAACACGTACCAGTACGGTAGCAGGAATAACACACAGCTCAGCCGGTAGCACAGGCCCAGCATCATGCCCAGTGCCCCTGGGGGTTTGTGAGGAGAGGATTCAAGGTCAAAGTGTCACCACAGGCCCAGCTTCCCTGGGACTGAAATTAAGAAAAGTCAGCAGGCATTTTATAACGAGGCAGAGAACCAAATGAAAGAATAATTCTGGGGTCATGACGGCTCACATGACAACAGAGGAGCAACAGGAAGCTGAATCACAGAGGCGACACAGACATCCAACGACTTGGTTCACCAGCATGCTTCTGGTGAGTTTCTGACAGGCCAGTCAATTCTCCCTGGTTCAGATCCCCAGCACCCAGTTCCCCTCACCCAGAAACATGATGGTGTAGACAAGATACATCCAGTCAAGTGGCAGTGGGCGCAAGGCGTCCAGCAAGGGGAAGCGGCACACATCCAGCCCGTCCAAGTATTTTCGGTCCAGGGAGCTAAGGCCCCGTTCCTGCGGAATGTCCAGTAGCATCAAGAACGCTATAAAGGCAAGTAGGGGAAGACAGCTGTTAGGCAGCCACTAAGGAGGCAAGACATAGCTCTAAGCATGCCCGGCCTGGGCTACACAGTGAGTTCAATCCCAGCCTGAGATAAGACAGAAAAATCCTGTCTCAAAAAAAACAAAACAAAACAATAGTCACTCCTATTAGTGCTGAACGTACTCTACGCAGGAATTATGCTAGTTGTGTGGCTGACAAGCCCTCAAGCTCTGTGAGCTGACTCCCACCTCTAACAACCACGCTCATACTTTGTACAGGAGTTGAGAGGCTGGCGAGACGGCCCAACTGAACAATCATAAGGGCTGGAACTCACATCCCAGCACTCACATAACCAGCTGGGACTCTACGAGCATCTGTAATTCCAGCTGTGAAAGGGGCAGAAACAGGAGGCTCGCTGGCTTGCCGGCTCCCAGATGCTGAGAAGCTGAAAGCCCCAGAGGCTCAGGGAGAGATTCTGCCTCGAAAGAATTAGTGAGAGGAGTGTGGCAGAGATCATCTTCTAGCCTCTGTGGTCACGCACAGGAGCTCTCGCCTGAGCACACATGTGGGAGCATGTGCATACACTCACACAGATACACACATCAACAAAATAAATCTCTAAAAAAACACTTCACAAGCCAGTGTTCCCAGAACACTCCTTTTTTTAAAGATTTATTTATTATATGTACACTGTTCTGCCTGCATGTCAGAAGAGGGTACCAGGTCTCATTATAGATGGTTGTGAGCCATCATGTGGTTGCTGGGAATTGAACTCAGGACCTCTGGAAGAGCAGTCAGTGCTCTTAACCTCTGAGCCATCTTTCCAGCCCCCAGAACACTCCTTTAATCCCAGCACTGGGAAAGCAGAGACAAGCAGATCTCTGTGAGTTCTAGGCCAGCCTGACTTACATAGCAAGTTGCAGCCATCCTGGACTATATACCCAGGACAGTGAGACCCTGTCTCAAGAAATAAAAACAAGCAACAAACAAGACAAACAACAGCAAAAATATCACAGGGTTATAGGCAAGATTAAATAAGAGTCATGTACAAAACACTATAGAAATTGTTAGGGTTCAAGTACTTACATCTACAAAGATACAACCTACTGAGCCATAAAAAGTGGTCTGGGGGACCTTCTGAACATTTTTTGCCCCTGACACACCCAGGAAAGAAGTGGTATTTGGTGAACACACTAAGATAAATAAGGGACACTCAAATCTGGAGGCCAGTTTGGGTTCAGGCACGGTTTCTCAATCCCAGAAGCAGTTGCATTAGCCAGTCTAGTTAATTATCTGTAGAGAGAGAGATTTACCCACTCATTGCAAGACATCTAGTGCATCCTGGTACCAGCACCAATGCCAGCAACAGTTACCTATTCCTTTTCTCCAAAAGTCCTAACAACTAAAAATATGTCTTCAGGGAGCAAAATGGTCTCCATCTGGAAATTACTGGACTTAAAGGAGTAATATCTTTCGCACGTCTTAACTCTATGAGCTGTTCTGATTGTTTCTCTGAGTGTTTAACACAGCTCCTAAGCAGCTTCCTGACATGAACAAAATGGGTTCCTTGCCAGGGGTGAAGGTGTTTATACTACCAGCACTCAAGAAACAAGAAGAGGATGGGCATTGATGGTACACACCTTTAATCCCAGCACTTAGGAAGCAGAGGCAGGTGAATTTCTGTGAGTTCGAGAACAACAAACTCCAAAGCTACAGAGAAACCCTGTCTCAAACAAAAGCAAGAAGAGCACTGAAGAAACCAGACAAGCCTGATCTACAGAATAAGACCATTTCAAGGCACAAAGAGAGCTGGGGAGATTGCTCAGTCAGTAAAGACAAAAGCGCTTGCTGCAAGCATGAGGGCCTGAGTTCAGATCACTAGTGCTCACGCAAAACACCTGGCACAGTATCTGTGCTGTGAGACAGGGAGACAGGATGGCCCCTGGGGTTTGCTGGCCAGCCAGTCTGACTCAACTGGTGAACTCCAGGTCCAGTGCAGACCCTGTCTCAAAAAATAAGGTGGAGAAATAATTAAGGAAGACACCTGACATTGCCCTCTGGTCTACAAGTGCACACGCGAATGCATGCACACACACAGAGTGTGCCCCTGCTCCAACCCATCCCTCTAATCTATGTATCCTATATAGCCTCAGATCAAAGCATTTCTGAATACTAAACCCTAACTAGAGATGACAAGGCCAGGTATGATTCTAAAATCCCAAGGAATACTTCCATTATCTAATACCTTCAGTTCTAAGGAAAAGAGACCATCTAAGAAGGAACCAAGAAACAGGTGACTGGGCTGGAGAGAATGGCTCAGCACTTAAGAGTATGCACTGATCTTGCAAAGGACCACAGTTCAGTTCCCAGCACCCATATATCAAGCACTGGCTCACAACTGCCGTTAACTCTAGTTCCAGGAGATCCAACAGCCTCTTCTGGCTTCTACGAGCAAGCATTGACCCAGAGACTGCACTGGTTAACCTTTGTCCATTTCAAACAATCTGGAGGAACCTCAATGGAGAAAATGCCTCGATCAGATTGGCCTGTGAGCACTGATGTGGGAGGGCGCATCCTGCTGTGTGGACAGGTGATCCTGGGTGGTAAAGGAGAGCAGGCTGGGCAAGCCATGAGGAGGCCAACAGCAACGTTCTTCCACGCCCCTTCTTCAGTTCTGCCCTCCAGACGCACGCCCTGACATCCCTTCACCACGAACTACGACTATCAGCGTTCAACAAACCCTTTCTTTTCCATGTTGCTTTTTGTCATGGTGTTTTATCACGGTAATAAAAAGGAAACTAACACACGCACATAAATAAAATAATAATAAATCTTAAAGAGAAATTAGGATGTCATTTTCCCAACCCCAACCAAAATGCCCCCATCCAGAAAATGGACTTACCAAAGAGAAAACGAAAGACGGCCAGGTTTGCGGGGTCTGTTGGTCGGTTAAGCAAGGTCACGAAACTCTGCCAACTAGATAAATCTGTCCATTCAAACCCCAGAAGTTTCTCCATGCGGCTGCCTTGGCTGAGCCCTGATGTCCGTGCAGACTTGTTTTTCTGTACTTTATCTACATCCAAGAAATGGGGGAAATGTGTGCGTAAGAAAGCCAAAGTCCCCACAGCTTAGGGGCTCCACCCACTGGCTTCTCCCATTGATCGGACCACTGCAAGCTTCTGGGTTGCAGGCCCTCCAACTCTCTCAATAAGTCCCTTCCTCACTAAGACCACCATCCCTCTCGCCAGCCTACCTGAGGCGGTAGCGGCCCGTGCAGAGCCACGGTGCACACCCATGACTGCAAAAAGAGAAGCGCCTCTGCAGCTCGAACCGAGCAAGTGGAACCCCAAGCCTTTGCAGTCTTGGGCTCCGCCTCCTCGACACGTCAACACTCGCACGGCAGGCCGGAAGGCGCCCGCACTGTCGTGAAGGCCGGAACCCGTAGTCCCGGATTCAAGCATGGGGCAGGGCTGTGGGGGGGACGGGGCGAGGGGCGGGGAGATGGGCGGGGCGGAGAGATCCTGAGCAGAGGGTTGAGCCCAGAAAGCGTGCAGAGCCCGAGGAAGGGGGCAGGGCAAGGGGTTTGCAGGATGGGCAGCGCGCAGGGGCTAAGGGGCTTGTATAAGTCTAACCTTTGCATTGTGAGGAAAGAGTGACCATTCCAGAACAAGTGTCTCTATGCTAGCTACCCATCACATTCTTGAACTTCAACCGCCGACGCCTCTGCTTTATTGTTTTGAGACAGGATCTTTCTTTGTAGCTCTGGAAGTTCTGGAGCTCACTCGTGTCGACCAAACTGGCCTCAAACTTGCAGAGATCCATCTGCCTCTACCTCCAGAGTTCTGGGACTAAAGGCATTCACCACCATGCCCAGCAAGCCTCCTTCTGAGACAGACTAGCCTGGAACTCGAGGCGATCCTCCTGCTTCTGTCTTCCAAATGTTTGGATTGCGAGAGACTATTGCAATACTTTCCTAACCTCCTTATGTCCTTCCCGAGTTTGTCGGGTGCCTCTTGAGTTTGAATGCCCCTAAAGTGCTTCCTGGAATTAAAAAAAAAAAAAAAAAAAAAGGTTGAGTGGAGCGAAAGGGTAGATTTTTCCACAGATGTGGACTTAGAGTTAAAGACGCGCTTGGAAGAACTGCCCCTACTTAAGGCTAGTGTGTCGATCCTTTCTGTACCTAAAAGAACTAGACTTGAAAAGAGCAGGAAGGTAAACAAAGGGGAGATCAGGAGCAAGCTGTGAGTCCAGCCATCAGTCGGAGGGTCTTGATCAGAGTTGAAATATCCAACTCCCTACTGCAGGTGGCCCACAGCACAAGGAAAAAATCCCAGAACAGAACGATTCACCAGCATTATGGTCTCAGGACACTTTTACACTGTTGGAAATGGAGGAAACTGCTCTTTAAGGTTTACTTTTGTTTTAAGATAGGGTCTCATGTAGCCCGGCTTGGCTCAAACACCGTAGGTGAGGGTTTACCATGAACTATTTATCCTATTGCTTCCACCTCCTGAGTCTTAGTATTACAGACAAGTACTATGAGTTCTGCTTTTTTTTAAATGTGTGTATGTGGTGTGGGAAATAGACCTGTGTCCTCTGCTGAGTAGCAAACTGTCCCAGCAGCTGAGCGTCTTTCCAGCTCCTGTTTCGAAGAGCTTTACATTGAGAAGATTTTTAAATAAGTATCTGGGTATGGAGAGACGGCAGCAGTTCAGAGCATGTATGGTCTTGCTCTTGTGGAGAAACTGAATTTGGTTCCCAGTATCCCCATTAGGCAGCTCAGGACTGTCTCTAACTCCAGTTCCTGGGGGATTCTAGGCCTCTGGCCTCTGAAGGCACCTGCAATCATGTGCATGCACATAGTGAGCATTAGGATGGGTCAGATGGACAGGGATTCTGGCACTTGGGAGCCACAGAATAGTAAGTGTTACAGCCCCGATGGAAAGGTATCTGGCACTCGGGAGCCAAAGAATAACATGGGTCACAGTAAGCACGGTAGCTTACAGCCTTGCTCCAGGGAAAGGCTTCCCCAGTGTATCAGCTCTGCTCCAGCAGGGGAGGACTTTCCCTGGAGAATTTGTTACAGTTCAGCTCCAGCTCCATTTCCCCAGAGAATGTAACAACTTCAGTTCGCCAGAGGAAGGTTTACCCCAGCGAAAAGTGTTAGAGCCCTGCTCTGCTCTACCCAGGGTCGTCTCTGCTCTGGAGAAAGAAAGTCTCACCCAAACCTCATTCAAGAGATTTATTGGGAGGGAAGAATCCAGGAGAGTGACTGCCCTCTACCAGAGTGGCAGAGTACAGCCGGGTAACACAAACAGCCACAAGCTGAACAGACACAGGGTTTCCTAGGGCTTCTTGTGGGAAGGGGGCAGGTGGAGGGAGGGTTTCCAGGGTGGGGATTGGTCAGATGTCAATCCCTGAGCTTAGATCTTCTGCTCAGGGATTGGTTAGTTTTCTGCACAGGGTTAGGGTCAGATTTGGCCCTGGTTTCAGGGCCCACGTGTGTTTCTTTCTCTGGTCCTTTTTAGCCTTTTGGCTCTAGTTTAGGGCCAGGGTGCATTTCTTTCACTGGTTCTGATTCCAAGGACAAAGTTGTAACTCTGTTTTCTATCTCCTCCTAAATGTGCTAGGATTACAGAGGCTGGCTTCTTTTCATTCAGTTTTTATGTTGATTCTGTAGAGCCCGGCTCAGGTCATCAGGCTTGTACAACAAGTGATTTTGCCCACCAGACCCCCCCCCTTATTTGTTTTTAATAGCACTGGAGATTAGAACTACAGCTTTCCGCTTGCTCGGCAAGTGCTCTACCACTGAGCTATATCCTCGACCTTTTTAAGTTTGTTATTCTAAGACAGGGCTCCCATAAATTTCCTGGGCTGGCCTTGAATTCATTCTGTATCCCAGGCAGGCACCGAACTTGTGATCCGCCAGCCTTAGTCTTCCAAGTGCTTCGAGGCATACACCACTACATTCAGCAAAGTACATTGTCTTTGGTACTGGAAGATTCAACCTAGGGCATTGCAATAATAGACAAATGCTTTACTGGTGAGTCATATCCCAGCTCATCAAACGCATTCATAATTGAAAATGGTACTTTTATTATTTTTGAAGCAGAGTCTCTGTGTAGCCCTGGCTGTCCTAAAACTTGCTTTGTAGACTAGGATAGCCTTAAATTCAAAGAGATCTACCAGCCTCTGTCTGCTGAGTGCTGGGATTAAAAGCATGTGCCATCATGACTGGCAAAAATGGTATTTTTAGAAAATCAGACATGGTTGCATATGATGATAATCCTTACACATGTGAGACTGAGGCCAGGGGTAAGTTGCAAGTTCCACCAAAGCCAAGTCTACTTATGGAACTTCTAGATAGCGAGGCTGCATCATGAAACTCTGTCTCAAAAGTCCAAAACCAAGGAAATTAAAATCGTGCTTTTTGAAAATTCCAAACTGAGGGCTGGGCACGGTGCCACCTGCCTTTAATCCCAGCACTTGGGAAGCAGAGGCAGACAGATCTCTGTGAGTTTGAGGACAATATGGTCTACGTAGCATGTTGCAGGCAACCAAGGCTACCTCGTGAGGCTCAAACAAACAAACAAAAAAAAAAGAAGCTGCCTGCTGAGCCTGGGGAGATGGCTCAGTGGGAAGCCTGAAGACCTGAATTTAGTGGCCCTAAACCCGTGTGGTATCCAGAAGATGCATGCGTCTGTAATCCCAATGGCTTTAAGAAGAAATGGGAAACACAAACCAGAGAACTCCTGGGAACTTGCAGGGCCAGCTAATTAATCTGCCTAGACAGCAGTGAACAGCGAGGGACCCTGCCAAATAAGATGGATAATAAGCACCAATGTCTGAGGTTGTCCTTTGACCTCCACACGCACACCACGGAGTGTGCACACCCTCACACACATGAACAGATTCAACTACGCACCCAAGTTGCAATCTGGAGAGCTGGGGATGTAGCCCAGTTGACAGAAAGCTTGCTCAACATGCGTGAAACCGTGGGTTCAGTCCCCAGCACTACTTAAAATAAGGTGTGGTGGTACACATTTCTAATCCCAGGAGGTGGAGGCAGACGAATTAAAAGTTCACAATCATATCTGGGGTACTTAGTGAAACAACCTGGGGTACTTAGCGCCATTTCAAGAATAAATAAGGGCATAGAAAATGGCTCAGGAGTTAAAGAGCACATACTGCTCTTTCAGAGACCCAAAGTTCAATTCCCAGCACCCAAATTGGGCTGAGTTATTGCCTGCAACAACTCTGATGCTTCTGGTCTCCTTGGACACCTGCACTCATGTACACATGTGCACATATCCACACACAAACACATTACACACACAAACACACACACAAACTAATTAAAAATAAACAGAGCAAGTTCCAGGACAACCAGGGCTGTTATTCAGAGAAAACCTGTCTCAAAAATACAAAAAACATAAAATAAAGAGAACTACAGAGATGGTTCAGCAGTTAAGAGCACTGACTACTCTTTCAGAGGATCCGGGTTCAATTCCTAGTACCCACTTGGAAGCTCACAACCATCTGTAACTCCAGTTCTAGAGGACCCAAGACCCACTTCTGGCCTCTATGGACACTAGGCTACACATGTTGCACAGACAAACATTCAGACAAAATGCGCACATTTAAAAATGTAAAGTAAATGAAAATACAATAAAGTATTTTTTAAAAATTCAATATGGCCAAGCGGTGGTGACAGCACTCGCCTGTAGTCCCAGCACTGGGGAGGCAGAAGCAGGTGGATCTCTAAGAGTTTGAAGCCAGCCTGGTCTACAGCAAGTTCCAGGTTAGCTAAGAGAAACCCTGTCTTGGAAAAAAATCAATAGGGTGACTGGAGTTATGTCTCATCAGTTAAGAGTACTTGCTTCTCTTTCAGAGGTCCCAAATCTGATTCCTATCACCCACATTGAGTTGTTTCATAACCATTGTTACTGTGGTTCTAAGGTGATCCAATGTGTCTGGCCTCTGTGGGTATCAGAGACACACATAGGTACACATAATTTAGAAGGAAGAAAGGGAGGGAAGAGTGGAGGGAGGGAGGAAGAAGAGAGAGAGACAGAGAAGAAAGAAAGGCCGGGAAATATAATTTAGTAGTTAAGAGCTTCTTCAGCTCTAAGGGATTTGGTGCCCCCTTCTGGTCTCTAAGAGTACCACACAGGCATGCGAACAAAATCTCACTATGTGGCTCTGACCTGCTTGGAATACACTAACTACATGGTCCAGGCTGGCCTTGAATTCACAGTGGCCCACCTAATCTGCCTCTCAAGTACTGGGATTTAAGTGCCATCAGTCTTAGCTTTAAAAGAAATCATTTAAAACTTTTAATAAATAAATGTAAAATAAACAAAACAAACAAAAAATTTCAAACTAGGCGTGTTGTAGCATGCCTGT